TCCACATTTGTAATTTCAGCAATGTAGCGCCAGTGCTTATCGATGTCAGGAATGGGGATATGTGTCATTCTGGAAAGTGTCAGACTATGATATGGAACATTGGCTGTTTCTCCTCCGACTCAACTTAAAGAGGTTTCAAACTGTAGGCTTTCTAAGGGGAGAAAGTTCAGCACTGTTGAAAGGATCCCTGACCCAAGTCAAATATGCAGGAGAAGACTGGTCATAATTTGTGAACCAAGCACACCACCTTGGCAGTTTTGGTCCTATAAAACTCAGACTCATTTTTTCCAACAACAAGAACAAAGAGGCTGAATTGAAGGTAAATACAGTTTGCAAGCACAAACTGTATTTTGTAAGCACAAACTGTATTTTTTAAGCACCCACAACCTAATTTCCACCACATTTCCCAACCTTTGTTTTTCGTCTGTATTTGACCAGGTAAGGTCAAACCATGTCGCCCAAGAGTGTGATTACAGGGACTGGACAAATTGAGAACCAGGCTTGTTTAAACCCAGCTTGTCCTTTAAAGCCCTTCAATCCAACCGTTCCACTCCAGGGATGGTCATTGGTGTGCCGAGCACATGTTCCAGGTCTCAGGAGGATGCGGTGCACATAGCAGACATCCGAAGGGTCGTCTTTGTGGCCCCAACCTGTTTGAGATTCCACCTCAGCACTGGCTCTCATGGTGTAGAGACAACATGAACAGCAGAGCAGGCAGCAGGTCAATATCCTCTCAGCAGCAGCCGGTACAGGGGAGCCACGGGAGGGCCTGTGTGGAATTCTAAAACAAGCACCGTGCTCTTTCACCCCAGAGCAGTGGACGGATAGCATGCTGCGGCTCCCTTGCTATGAATCAACCTGCAGGGTTGGAATCGAAGAGTATGCTCTCATCACTTTGATCGGCTCATTTGTACCAGCCATTAACTATGAATGCACTGTACTGTGAATATGCCTTTGGGTTTTTGTTCTAAAGTTTGGCTTTAGAAACAGGACGACTCATTGCCTAGAGTACCGCCGTGCTGGTATACTTGGCCCTTCTCTCAAGCCTCCATCTGCTACAGAAGCCCCAGCAAATGTGCAGCCAATTGCAATACCTTAACCAAGGATATTGAAGAGATATAATAGAAATGTATGCATAAAATACAATAAACTTTCATATTTGTACAATACAAAAAGTGCCTTTAGGCTTAAATTCCTTATTTTTACTATTTTCTACATGGTAGAATAATAGTGAAGACATCAAATCTATGAAATAACACATATGGAATCATGTAGTAACCAAAAAAGTGTTAAACAAATCAAAATATATTTTATATTTGAGATTCTTCAAATAGCCACCTTTTGCATTTGTCAACCAGCTTCACCTGGAATGCTTTTCCAACAGTCTTGAAGGAGTTCCCACATATGCTGAGCACTCGATGGCTGATTTTCCTTCACTCTGCGGTCCAACTCATCCCAAACAATCTCAATTGGGTTGAGGTCGGGGGATTGCGGAGGCCAGGTCATCTGATGCAGCACACAGTGAGTTGGGTCATTGTCCTGTTGAAAAACAAATGATAGTCCCACTAAGCCAAAACCAGATGGGATGGCGTATCGCTGCAGAATGCTGTGGTAGCCATGCTGGTTAAGTGTGCCTTAAATTCTAAATAAATCACTGACAGTGTCACCAGCAAAGCTCCCCCACACCATCACACCTCCTCCTCCATGCTTCACGGTGGGAACCACACATGCGGAGATCATCCGTTACCCTACTTTGCGTCTCACAAAGACATGGCGGTTGGAACCAAAAATCTCCAATTTGGAATCCAGAGGACAAATTTCCACCGGTCTAATGTTCATTGCTCGTGTTTCTTCACCCAAGCAAGACTCTTCTTCTTATTGGTGTCCTTTAGTAGTGGTTTCTTTGCAGCAATTCAACCATGAAGGCCTGATTCACACAGTCTTCTCTGAACAGTTGATGTTGAGATGTGTCAAATGAAATCAAATGAAATCAAATGTTATTTGCCACATGCGCCGAATACAACAGGTGTAGACCTTACAGTGAAATGCTTACAAGCCCTTAACCAACAATGCAGTTTTAAGAAAAAAAGTGTTAAGTAAAAAATAAATACGTAAAAAATTATTAAAGAGCAGCAGTAAAATAAAATAACAGCAGGGAGGCTATATACAGGGGGTACCGGTACAGAGTCAATGTGCCGGGTCACCAGTTAGTCGAAGTAATTGAGGTAATATGTACATGTGGGTAGAGTTAAAGTGACTATGCATAGATAATAAACAGAGTAGCAGCAGCGTAAAAGAGGGGGTGGGGTGGGATGGGGGGTTCAATGCAAATAGTCCGGGTAGCCATGATTAGCAGTTCAAGAGTCTTATGGCTTGGGGGTAGAAGCTGTTAAGAAGCCTTTTGGACCTAGACTTGGCGCTCCGGTACCGCTTGCCGTGCAATAGCAGAGAGAACAGTCTATGACTAGGGTGGCTGGAGTCTTTGACCATTTTTTGGGCCTTCCTCTGACACCGCCTAGTATAGAGGTCCTGGATGGCAGGAAGCATGGCTCCAGTGATGTACTGGGCCATACGCACTACCCTCTGTAGTGCCTTGCGGTCGGAGGCCGAGCAGTTGCCATACCAGGTGGTGATGCAACCAGTCAGGATGCTCTCGATGGTGCAGCTGTATAACTTTTTGAGGATCTGAGGACCCATGCCAAATCTTTTCAGTCTCCTGAAGGGGAATAGGCTTTGTCGTGCCCTCTTCACGACTGTCTTGGTGTGTTTGGACCATGATAGTTTGTTGGTGATGTGGATACCAAGGAACTTGAAGCTCTCAACCTGTTCCACTACAGCCCTGTCGATGAGAATGGGGGCATGCTCAGTCCTCTTTTTTATCCTGTAGTCCACAATCATCTCCTTTGTCTTGATCACGTTGAGGGAGAGATTGTTATCCTGGCACCACATGGCAATGTCTCTGACCTCTTCCCTATAGGCTGTCTCATCGTTGTCGGTGATCAGGCCTACCACTGTTGCGTCATCGGCAAACTTAATGATGGTGTTGGAGTTGTGCCTGACCATGCAGTCATGGGTGAACAGGGAGTACAGGAGGGGACTGAGGACGCACCCCTGAGGGGCCCCCGTGTTGAGGATCAGCGTGGCAGATGTGTTGTTACCTACCCTTACCACCTGGGGGCGGCCCGTCAGGAAGTCCAGGATCCAGTTGCAGAGGGAGGTGTTTAGTCCCAGGGTCCTTAGCTTAGTGATGAGCTTTGAAGGCACTATGGTGTTGAACGCTGAGCTGTAGTCAATGAATAGCATTCTCACATAGGTGTTCCACTTGTCCAGGTGGGAAAGGGCAGTGTGGAGTGCAATAGAGATTGCATCATCTGTGGATCTGTTGGGGCGGTATGCAAATTGGATCGGGTCTAGGGTTTCTGGGATAATGGTGTTGATGTGAGCCAGGACCAGCCTTTCAAAGCACTTCATGGCTACAGACGTGAGTGCTACGGGTCGGTAGTCATTTAGGCAGGTTATATTAGTGTTCTTGGGCACAGGAACTGCTTGAAACATGTTGGTATTACAGACTCAGTCAGGGACATGTTGAAAATGCCAGTGAAGACACTTGCCAGTTGGTCAGCGCATGCTCGGAGTAAACGTCCTGGTAATGTGTCTGGCCCTGTGGCCTTGTGAATGTTGACCTGCTTAAAAGTCTTACTCACATCGGCTACAGAGAGCGTGATCACAGTCATCCGGAACAGCTGATGCTCTCATGCATGCTTCAGTGTTGCTTGCCTCGAAGTGAGTATAGAAGTGATTTAGCTTGTCTGGTAGGCTCGTGTCACTGGGCAGCTCGCAGCTGTGCTTCCCTTTGTAGTCTGTAATAGTTTGCAAGCCCTGCCACATCCGATGAGCGTTGGAGCCGGTGTAGTACGATTCAATCTTAGTCCTGTATTGACTCTTTGCCTGTTTGATGGTTCGTCGGCGGGCTGTTACTTGAACTACTTGAGCATTTATTTGGGCTGCAATTTCTGAGGCTGGTAACTATAATTAACTTATCCTCTGCAGCAGAGGTAACTCTGGGTCTTCCATTCCTGTGGCGGTCCTCATGAGAGCCAGTTTCATCATGGCGCTTTATGGTTTTTGCGACTGCACTTGAAGAAACGTTCAAAGTTCTTGAAATGTTCCGTACTGACTGACCTTAATTTCTTAAAGTAATGATGGACTGTTGTTTCTTTTTGTTTCTCTTTGCTTATTTGAGCTGTTCTTGCCATAATATGGACTTGGTCTTTTACCAAATAGGGCTATCTTCTGTATACCCCCCTACCTTGTCACAACTGATTGGCTCAAACGCATTAAGAAGGAAAGAAATTCCACAAATTAACTTTTAACAAGACACACCTGTTAATTGAAATGCATTCAAAATCATTCCTCATGAAGCTGGTTGAGAGAATGCCGAAAAGAGTGTGCAAAGCTGTCATCAAGGCAAAGGGTTGCTATTTAAAGAATCTCAAATATAAAATATATTTTGATTTATTCAACACTTTTGTGGTTACTACATGATTCCATATGTGTTATTTAATAGTTTTGATATCTTCACTATTATTCTACAATGTAGAAAATAGTAAAAATAAAGAAAAACCCTTCAATGAGTAGGTGTTCTAAAACTTTTGACCGGTAGTGTACATTTCAGTCTTTGGGTAATATACAGTAACAAAATGCTATTGTTGAAACATCAAATAAATGGTTCTGGTATGAAACACCACACAAATGATCAACACAGTACTAAACACATTCTCGAAACAGATCCTCATGGGTGTACGCTGCCATTAAGAAAGCAGCTACCCACGTCCTTGAAGTGTACTTCTCCAGCAGCAGCTCGTACTGTTCCACTCCTTCCAGACACTCCCATATGGGACACAGGGAGAGGATGGTGAATATCAGCATGTGGAGGCCAAACACACAGCCATGTCTTCCCCAGGTCCTGGGGACCTTTCTGTCTGTCTGTTTGTCTGATATCAGGAGACAGCTGGAGCAGGTGTGTGTGAGCTGCTTCCATTGAGAGTAGAGGACGGGCTCCAGTCTGGCTGGTAGAAGTGGATGTCATACTTCTGGGCCCAGTTGGCGAACACCGTTTTCTCCGTGATGAAGCGGTGGTGGCTGCCGTGCTGGTTGTGCTCGTGGGAGAGATACATCGAGCACTCGTCGGGCCCAGAGGGCTCATAGTAATGATACGGCACTGAGAGATGGGAGGGAGTCCTGTGAAAAGAGGATGAGAAGAGAGAGGGAGAAAGGGGGATATGAAGGGAGAAGTGGGGAGAAGTTTGAGGGAGGAAATGGAAGAGGGGGAAGACAGACAGTGAGAATGGGCAGGGGAGTGACGGAGAGATAGATTAACAGAGAGAAAGAGGGAGAGTGTGCGTGTGAGAGAGAGAGAGAGAGAGAGAGAGAGAGAGAGAGGAGGGAGGGAGGGAGGGAGGGAGAGAGAGAGAGAGAGAGAGAGAGAGAGAGAGGGATAGAGAGAAAGAGATAGATGAGAGAGATATCATAAAAATATTTCTTAGCCATGAGAGCCCTGTGCTCATCAAAGCTAGTCCTATGATCCCTGTGATGATCCTGACAGTACTACACTCAGTAGGCTCAGGCCTCAGAGGGGAGTTTGAGCCAGCAGACAGAGGGGCGTTTGAGCCAGCATTAATCATTCACACAGCACAGACATTTGATATGGTCCCATGGACCTGCCTATGGATATCAGCTTAATATCTGGAGTTACTGTAATCTTCAATCAATCTACAGGCGGCAGGTTAGAGCTTTGGGCCAGTAACCAAAAGGTCACTGGTTTGAATACCTGAGCCGACAAGGTGAAAAATCTGTCTGTGACCTTGAGCAAGGCACTTAAACCTCATTTGTTCCAGGGGTGCTGTACTACTATGGCTGACCCTGTAAAACAACACATTTCACTGCACCTATCCAGTGTATGTGACAATAAAAACATTTTTCTATGCAGTCAGGATATTCAGGACACAAGCATGTACATTGTATTTGCCAGAACATAAATATTCATAATAATAATAATAGTAATACTAGTGATAGTTGCCTATGGAATTTTCAGTAATTAATACTCAAATAATAAAAATAAAAAATGCATTCATATACTGTATATTAGTACAGTGGCTTGCGAAAGTATTCACCCCCCTTGGCATTTTTCCTATTTTGTTGCCTTACAACCTGGAATTAAAATTGATTTTGGGGGGTTTGTATCATTTGATTTACACAACATGCCTACCACTTTGAAGATGCAAAATAATTTTTATTGTGGAACAAACAAAAAATAAGAAAAAGAAACAGCACTTGAGCGTGCATAACTATTCACCCCCCCCCCCCCCGCTGGTGTACAGCAATCTTTAAGTCAGTCCAATTTGTAAATCGCTCTGGATAAGAGCGTCTGCTAAATGACGTAAATGTAAATGTAAATAACACAGATTTTCAATTGGATTGAGGTCTGGGCTTTGACTAGGCCATTCCAAGACATTTAAATGTTTCCCCTTAAACCACTCGAGTGTTGTTTTAGCAGTATGCTTAGGGTCATTGTCCTGCTGGAAGGTGAACCTCCGTCCCAATCTCAAATCTCTGGAAGACTGAAACAGGTTTCCCTCAAGAATTTCCCTGTATTTAGCACCATCCATCATTCCTTCAATTCTGACCAGTTTCCCAGTCCCTGCTGATGAAAAACATCCCCACAGCATGATGCTGCCACCACCACGCTTCACTGTAGGAATGGTGTTCTCGGGTTGATGAGAGGTGTTGGGTTTGCGCCAGACATAGCGTTTTCCTTGATGGCCAAAAAGCTCAATTTTAGTCTCATCTGACCAGAGTACCTTCTTCCATATGTTTGGGGAGTCTCCCACATGCATTTTGGCGAACACCAAACGTTTTGCTTATTTTTTTCTTTAAGCAATGGCTTTTTTTCTGGCCACTCTTCCGTAATGCCCAGCTCTGTGGAGTGTACGGCTTAAAGTGGCCCTATGGACAGATACTCCAATCTCCGCTGTGGAGCTTTGCAGCTCCTTCAGGGTTATCTTTGGTTTCTTTGTTGCCTCTCTGATTAATGCCCTCCTTGCCTGGTCTGTGAGTTTTGGTGGGCGGCCCTCTCTTGGCAGGTTTGTTGTGGTGCCATATTCTTTTCATTTTTAATAATGGATTTAATGGTGCTCCGTGGTATGTTCAAAGTTTCTGATATTTTTTTATAACCCAACCCTGATCTGTACTTCTCCACAACTTTGTCCCTGACCTGTTTGGAGAGCTCCTTGGTCTTCATGGTGCCGCTTGCTTGGTGGTGCCCCTTGCTTAGTGGTGTTGCAGACTCTGGGGCCTTTCAGAACAGGTGTATATATACTGAGATCATGTGACAGATCATGTGACATTTAGATTGCACACAGGTGGACTTTATTTAACTAATTATGTGACTTCCGAAGCTAATTGGTTGCACCAGATCTTATTTAGGGGCTTCATAGCAAAGAGGGTGAATACATATGCACGCACCACTTTTCAGTTATTTATTTTTTTGAATTTTTTTAAACAAGTAATTTTTTTCATTTCACTTCACCAATTTGGACTATTTTGTGTATGTCCATTACATGAAATCAAATACAAATCCATTTAAATTACAGGTTGTAATGCAACAAAACAGGAAAAACGCGAACAGGGACGAATGTTTTTGCAAGGCACTGTATATAGTATATATATACATATATATAGTATTCATTTTTTATATCTGTGTCCATATTGTCCATGTGTTTCTAGTGGATAGACCATATTGTTCAAGAAAAATTGCCTAATTAATTTTAAAAAGCACAGTATCTAATCAACAATGTCATTATTTTCAATGAACTCTGCAACTCTTCCAACTATTGGCTTTTTTCACAACTGCCACCAGTTTGGCGCCAAAACATTTACAACAAAGACATAGTAAAATAAATAATAAAAATATAAAGGATATTTAATGCTGACATGCTTATATTAAACACCAATGGCATTCAATAAGTTGATGGTTTATATTTTGGATAATGTTTTACATCTTTGTCATTCAATTTTTTCAATTTAAATCATTTTATTTGATTATTTTCTAAATTGTACATGTGATAAGTACACACAGAGGGCCAGAGACAATAACAGACACCTGTGATAATCTTAAGTACCCAAAAAGGCCACTAGAAGTCATCTGATAAAATAAAATTAAAAATTAAAAGTTACCAAAGTTCTGGTCGTTTTCTAGTAAACTTTGAAAGTTTCCAGTAATATACCCACCCTTTGCAACCCTAGTTGCCTATTAGTAATATATTAGTATAATTGGGGTAATAATCCCTGTCGGACAGCACTGTGCAGAACCCAACCCACCTGCAGAAGTCCGGAGACACCATGCCATAGACATTGACCCTGTCACAGAGTTCCAGGGCAATGGCCATTGTGAACCAGCCAGTGCTCAGCCACGTGTTAGAGGTCTTCCTGGATGAGAAGGTGAATGGAAACAAGACATGTTCAACAAAATGTATTAAATGGTAATCATGACAAAACTTCCCTATGTGGTGCTCGCAGTGACATCCATTCTGGCCAAGGCCCTCAATTTATTGGTTAATTTTGAATACCATAAGTTTTCACACTGCCATATTTCTAATTTAAATGATTTTACATGAAATGGCGGTTTCAAGGCCAATAAACAGCCATCAAACCGGTGCCCCCTGTAATATGGAGCCCTCTCATCTACTGAGCCGTCAAGGCTAGTTTGTCGGGGCTGCATGGACCTGCCAGACCTGCCAGCCATACCAGCCCCTCGATGGGCACTGGGGGATATCCCAGCTGGCAGTGGTGCCACTCCTGTCTGGGCTCATCCTGTGTGCTATCTGCCAGATAGAGTGCCAGGGAGAGTGCCAGCCAGTGAGAGTCTGGTAGGACCTGTAATCGGTTTCTGCTCCCAGCTCTGACTCAGTGACATCATCTTGTGAGGCAGTGTGGCGCTTCTGTACCTTCCTGTCAACAGTTAATGAAGACACCAATTATCTTGTAGCATCGTAGCATATGTACCTGTCATGTAGCTGCTGGAGACACGGCTAATTTGGATTGCTAGTCGCTAATCTGTCAGCATCTATTAATGATTAGTACGTTGGGTTGGCTTCCTATGACATAAATGTTTAAGCGTCACTTACTGTAGGCTTGCTACCAAGCTTATGACACTGTACCTGACTGACTGACTGGGATAACTGCAGTTTGCAGTTGAGCAGACATTGATATAGCACACATCCAACATACACAGCAACATTGTGTATTCACATTCATTGGAATTATTCAACTTTGATTGTGTTCAAAAGTGGGAACACATTTTTTTTTGTATGTCATCAATCCACACAAAATACTCTTTAATGTCAAAGTGGAAGAATTTTTTTTTTTTTTTTGTTTTTGTGATTAATATAAATTAAATAACTAAAATATTGTCGTTGCATAAGTATTCAACTCTAAGTCTCTAAGCTGAGGTGATTAAACTGCTTGGAGTAACCCTGGATTGTAAACTGTCATGGTCAAAACATATTGATACAACAGTAGCTAAGATGGGGAGAAGTATGTCCATAATAAAGTGCCACTCTACCTTCTCAACAGCACTATCAACAAGGCAGGTCCTAAAGGCCCTAGTTTTGTCACACCTGGACTACTGTTCAGTCGTGTGGTCAGGTGCAACAAAAAAGGACTTTGGCTCAGAACAGGGCAGCACGGCGGGCCCTTGGATGTACACAGAGAGCTAACATAATATGCATGTCGATCTCTCCTGGCTCAAAGTGGAGGAGAGATTGACTTCATCACTACTTGTGTTTATGAGAGGTGTTGACATGTTGGGTGCACTGAGCTGTCTGTTTGAGCTACTGGCGCACAGCTCGGTCACCCATGCATACCCCACAAGACATGCCACCAGAGGTCTCTTCACAGTCCCCAAGTCCAGAACAGACTATGGGAGGCGCACAGTACTACATAGAGTCATGACTACATGGAACTCTATTCCACATCAAGTAACTGATGAAAGTAGTACAATTAGATTTAAAAAACGGATAAAAAAACATCTTATGGAACAGCGGGGACTGTGAAGCAACACAAACATAGGCGCAGACACATGCATACACACACACGATAACATGCGCACTATACACACATGTACACATGGATTTTTGTACTGTAGATATGTGGTAGTGGTGGAGTAGGGGCCTGAGGGCACACAGTGTGTTGTGAAATCTGTGAATGTATTGTAATGTTTTTAAAATTCTATGAACTGCCTTAATTTTGCTGGACCCCAGGAAGAGTAGCTGCTGCCTTGGCATCAGCTAATGGGGATCCATAATAAAGACAAATAAGCACTTTACACACCTGGCTTGTGCAATATTAGCCCAATACTACTTTTATAATTCTTCAAGCTCCGTCAAGATGTTGAGGATCATGGATAGACAGCAATTTTCAAGTCTTGCCATAGATTTTCAAGCAGATTTAAGTCAAAACTGTAACTTAGCCACTCAGAAACATTCACTGTCTTCTTGGTAAGCAACTCCAGTGATTATTTGGCCTTGTGTGTAGGTTATTGTCCTGCTGAAAGGTGAATGAATCTCCCAGTGTCCGTTGGAAAGCAGACTGAAGCAGGTTTTCCTTTAGGATTTTGTCTGTGCTTAGCTCCATCCCGTTTCTTTTTATCCTGAAAAATGCCACAGTATTTGCCAATGTCAAGCATACCCATACCATGATGCAGCCACCACCATGCTTGAAAATAAGGAGGCAGTTACTCAGTGATGTGTTGTATAGGATTTGCCCCAAACATAAGGCTTTGCATTTAGGCCAAAAAGTGTATTCCCTTTTTTCATTTTTTATTTTTTCAGTATTACTTTGGTGCCTTGTTGCACACAGGATGCATGTTTTGTAATATTTTTAATAAATATATTTGTATTCTTCTTTTCACGCTGTAATTTAAGTCATTATTGTGGAGTCGCTACAATGTTGTTGATCCATCCTCAGTTTTCTCCCATCAAAGCCATTTAACTCTGTAACCGTGGCCAATGGCCTCATGGAGCAGTTCATTCCTGTCCTGCTGCTCAGTTCAGAAGGACGACTGTATCTTTGTTGTGTCTGGTTGGTTTAATACATAATCCACAGCATAATTACTAACTTGACCATGCTTAAAGAGATATTCAATGTCTGATTTGTTATTGTTACCCATCTACCAATCACTGCCCTTCTATATGAGGCTTTTATGAATCTGTCAACCCCTATTATTTTACACAGAGTGAGTCCATGCAACTTATTATGTGATTTGTTAAGCCACATTTTACTCGTGAACTAATTTAGGCTGGCCTAAACAACCACTATATTTTAGATATCAAATTTGTATTATTAATAAAAATAAAAATAAGTTTTTTCTTCCACTTTGACATTACAGAGTATTTTGAGGAGAATATTAACGAAACGTTACAATTAAATCAATTGTAATCCCATTCGTAACAAAATAAAACGTGAAGAAATCCAAAGGTATGAATACTTTTGCAATGCACTGTAGCTGTTAACTTTTCACAACATTGTGTTCACAGTTGTGTCGAGGTAAAAACAGTCATTGTTGTTTCTTCTTCTACCTCTACCATTCACAACGTGATTCAGCCATGGTTTTTATTCGGGACAGTGTTATTGTACTTACAGATAGTCTCTCTAGCTGCATCGTGAGCTTCAATTGGACTCTCGTATCCCCTTGCTCTACACTACATCCTCTTGAGTCTTCAACATATATTCAGAGTGCTTTGAACTAAATCCCATTAATGATACTGTGAGTGGTCGGGTGGTTGTTGGGATTTCTTACTTAGTCTTTTGTTAAGAGCGTCAAAAATGCTCGACAGCAGCTTTTAAATTAGAATGTGTATGTGTATTAGAATATGTTTGTGTATTAAAATGTGTTTTAGAATATGTATGTCTTTTAAATTGTGTATTAGAATATGTATGCTCAAGAGCACTGAAAACAATGCATTCGGCTTCCCTGGCTAATCTTGATTCAAGTCCTCAAACACAGTGACTGTATTCTTCAGAAGTCATCCTTGACCAGAATTGGACAGTCAGATTCACAAAGTCAAAACCCAATGATATTATTGACCCAAGGGTCAAAACGTCAAAATCCTACCTGTCTTTTCCCGTTTCATTTTTGAAGAGCTCGTCAAACTCCAGCATCTTGAGGTGGGAGATGACATAGACCTTGAGCTTGGGAAGCAGCTGGTTGACCAGACGCAGGTTGTTGAAGACACTGCCTTTGCCGTCGCGCCGCATGGAGCTGGTGGGTCCCCAGAACAGGAAGACCGAGTCCTGGTTGGCGTTGAGCAGCTCCTGCTGGCTCTGCAGCACCCTCTGCACGCTGGAGTGGGCGATGACGCGCAGGCTAGTGCGCCGGCCCACATCCTGATGGAAATTGTTTCCGTTCGGGGCATTGTTCATGCGGATGACGCACTCGGTGCGGTCGATCTCCTCCCCGCGGTTGCTGCCGGTAAGGTGGCCCGAGCTGGACACCAGGGCACAGCAGTTACAGTGCATCCTCAGAGGCTGGGGGGGGAAGGTCAATAGGTCAAAGACGGTATAGTACAGTGAGATCAGGGGTTACAGTGGCCATTAAACAACATAAAAAATGCATGCTTCCTTCTTTCCTTGCCCTGAAATTATGTAGCTAACAGCATTGGACAAGTGAAAGCACGGTACCCACCACATTGCAAATAAGGATGCATGTTTGAAGTTTTCAAACAGAATCTGCACTCTCTGGGGCCGAGCAAAGCCCAAAGGGTCTTCTACAGGAATCACACAATCCTTTATCATTCAATAGAATATGAGACCATATTCACCGAGGACATTTTGGCTGAGTATCTACCTATGCCTTTAACAAAATAAGTACAAGTGTTTAAAATTGAATGCAATCCTCCCTCTCTGTCATCGAGGTCAATGGACACATGGAGGAGTGAGATCCATGGCATCAGATTCAGATCTCCCTGCCAAGAGGAAAACTGTACTGTCCAAAATCCAACAGCACAATCAATACCTGCTACAGCACAGAGTACAAGGCCAGGCAAAACGGCATCCATCTCTAATAGTAAAAACCCTGAGACCCGCTCATGAATTATTCTAAGGCTTAATGCAGAGGCCCATTGGCATTCAGAGCTGTACTCTGGGCTTCCTGCTTGACTGGGGCCTGTGGGCCTTGTGCATACATTCATATACTGTATACATACAGGGGAGATTACCGACTTCACTGCCTCACTGCCTCCTGATCCCACTCTACTGTTTACACATTTCTTCCTATAATCTCTGTGATTGCACACATATTAATTACCAAGGGAAACTTAGAGGAAATGGAGATGGCCCTGAGCACGATGTGGGAAGTGTGTGTGAAGACACAGAAGATAATGAAGACAGAAGATAATGAAGACAGAAGATAATGAAGAAGAAAAAAGTCAGGAAGTTTGGGGCGGAGCTAGAAAGTTGGCTGTCAGAAGTATTACAATGTAAACGTACTTTTAATCCGTCTGTCTGCATATTTCAAGACATGTCATATGGGGGTGTAGTGAGATACCCAATGGGCTGGACGATTCTCTTCATCACAGTATGAAAATGTATTCACTAACTGTAAGTCGCTCTGGATAAGAGCGTCTGCTAAATGACTACAATGTAAAATGTAAATCACTCATCTTGAAAAAACGTATACTAAAAAAGTGGAAATCAATGAATCCGCCATCATTAACACAATGGAATTTTTTTTATGATTTATGATTTAAATATTTAAAAAGCATGGGCGACAGAGAAAAACAAATGGATACAATTTAAGGCCAAGTGGCAAACACTAATGCAGGTACTAGGGATGGGGGGGTGAGCATGCGGGTCTGGGCAGATGAGAATAAGTCATTGTTTGTGTGCGTCTGTAAATTGTTGTTCGTATGTATACGTTTGTATATCGAGTAAAAAAAGATAATGAATAAACCAAAACAAATAAAAAAAGATAATGAAATGCCTGAGGTTGTCTTCTCCTTCCCGATGTGTCCGGATGAGTGATCCGGGTACTCCTATTATGGTAACATGCATCACAGGATGTGAATTTTAATTTCTAACTATAGCCTTTTTCCTAGCAATAGTGTGGATGTATCGTTCCTTTGTGCTAGCCAGACATCCTACATGTAGACAATAAATAATTACACGCCCAGCCACCTGATTATAGCCTACACAATCTCCTGCCGCGCTACAAAAATAACTCGGGAGGACATAATGTTTATATCTTCTTTCTTCTTTATGTCTGCAGATATGGAACACACTCCCCATGGCAAGACAAATCACTCTTCTTACTAATTCCTACTTAATGCAGTACAATGCAATACAAGAAAATGATGGCAGACGTGTAATTCATGTTGGTTTAGTTCCAGTATTTTCCCTGTCGGTAGGTCTTCATGCCTGTCACTTCTAATGAAGCGCAACAGTTTTTTACTGGTAGGTTGTTCTTTGTCTCTGATCTCTGCGGCTTTCTGAGGCTGTGTTGCTTTCTTTACCTGAACTGACTATGTTTGTCTGATATTTGGATTTGACATAATGGAATTGTTTTTATATTACATTAAGGAATATCAGGGCAGCAAATGCAGACATTGCCCAAGCAATGACGTTCAACTCTATTCATGTATCCTACTTGTGGCCTGGAGCATCAGGGACTAAATTGTCTTTGACAGTCTGTGCCCAGAGCTTCTGTCAGCTCAATGATTCTACGTGGATATAGCAATGACTTATCAACTTAATTCTGAGGAAAAGGTTGAAACTGAGAATCCTTAAGAGGAGAAACCAAGGATTCTCAAACAACACTGTTGGCAACCGTGTGACCTGAGTCCTTTCCCCTGTACTACTAGTTTATCAGTAGTAGTCATCTTGTTATGGGTTGAACTTATGTGTGTTACATATAGACGAATGGGACAGTGAAGAAGGAGTTTGTCTCTGTTGGGCAAGTATGTCTGCAAGGGTTGTATAAACATGTGTTGCACAAGTGGATAGAAGGCATCTGTCTGGGTTAGGACAAAGTCACGGTTGAGTTACTGTTCAGCAAGTTCTAGTTTCTGTACGAAACGGCAAGATTGCAGTCAACGTCGAAGTAAAAATAACAGGATGTAGAGAAATAAACAGAGCCATACAGCGCTTCCGGCCCACTCTACTGGCCCACTTTCCTTTATCAGACTTTGCATATGAGGAAAAGGAAGTGTAACTCAAGCAGGAGAAACAGAGCCATTCAGCCCACTTGCCTTTATGTGACTTTGCAATTCAGCTGAAGCATCCAGTTGGGGTAATAAATCTGGTTTTAGCTTTGACAGTCTCCGCCTGTACCTGATTACATTTTCATCATTTAACAGACGCTCTTATCCAGAGCGACTTCCCCCATGGAAATCGAAACCACAACCCTGGCGTTGCAAGCACCATGCTCTACCAACTGAGCTACACGGGACTATAATAGATTAGAACCTAACATCAGATTATTGAATCAAATCTTATTACATAGATTCATCATTATGGAAGTTACCTGATTGAAGTCTTGAAATTAAACAAAAATTAATAAGAATTGTGCGGATCGATGCATTTCCACATGTTCGTTTTAGATGTGTTACATTATGAACCAATTTCAATCACAGGAGGCTGATGGGGGGAGAACGGCTCATAATAATGGCCGGAACGGAGCAAATGGAATGGCATCAAACACCTAGAAGCTATGTGTTTGATGTATTTGATACCATTCCACCCATTACGCTCCAGTCATTAGAACGAGCCCGTTCTCCCTAATTAAGGTGCCACCAACCTATTGTGATTTCAATATGAGCACACCTACCTACAGTATGCAGTAGGAACTTGACTAATTTGACCGTCTGTCTCATCCATCATTCATAACAAGAAAATATTCCTATTCCACTCAAACTGTGCGTCCCAAATGGCACCCTATTCCCTATATAGTGCACTACCTTTGGCCAGGTCTCACAGGGCTCTGTGTAGGGAATAGGGTGCCATTTGGGACACGGCCCCAGAGTTAGCATGGTAGTGGGACGTTGGCAGGTTCAGCCTTCATATAACTCTAATGTGGAGTAGATTAGATTAGCTGAGCTACAATAAATAGACCACAGAGCTCACAGCACAACATACAGTTACGAGTACAGCTCCAACCCAGTCAGTTACCAGCCACACAGCAACTGATCACTATCATGCTGCTTAGACTCTACCCAGGAAACCAGCATCGTAATTGCTTTGAGAACAACGCCATCCATTTAGCTTCTCTCATTATTTCTGTCTAGCTAGCTACCTCCTAGAATACTCATACACAGCACCCAAGGCGGACAGTAGCCTCGATTTCCAGTCTTGCAGTTCTGGTACATGTAATATTTCAGAAACAATGGTCTGACTTGTGAGACTAGGAGCACAGAGCCCTTCCTTTATGATGGATAGATACAGTAGGCCTCCACCTCAGGGGAAATGTCGGAGTTGAGGCATTTGATGGGCCGAGGGGAATCATGAGACACCACTGTGAGTGCTGTTGGCTGGTCTTTGTTGCCTCTACGTAGGCTTAAACACTGGTATATTATGATATATAAGGCCATTATGGGAAAATGATCTCTGTTAAATACCAGTTACGGTCTCACTCCTACTTACTTTTAACAGTTCCTAAAATCAGAACGGATCATGGCAAAAAGTGTTTTAGCTACTCTGCTCCGTGGTCTTGGAATTCTCTCCAGACCAGCTTGAAACTCCAGGATCTTGTTTCCTTGGAGGAGTTTAAAAGTTTGGTTGACTCGCATGTTGCTGAAGAATTTGATTGTCATTAGGACTTGATGCGGTGGTACATATGATAGATTTTAAAAAAATCTATGACGCTTATATGTTTCTGTAATTGAAATGTATGTGTGTCTACATCAATTATAATTTTTTGGGGTGTGTCTATGTCTGTAATTTGTTACAGTATGTCTGATCTTTGTCTTAAACATTGTTCCCCCCATGCTGATGTCTTAGTTGGACCAGGTCTCTCTTGAAAAATAGATTTTTATCTCAATGACACTAACCTAAAAAAAAATAGTAGGTTATGTTTTTAGATCAGATGAAGAAAATTCTGAAAAATACCAATATTCAGAGCCTGTGTAACAAAGGAGCCCGTTTGACTTTGAAGACAGGGAGGAAATCATATGGTGCTTTTCCATTCATTTGCTGTTGTGAAATATTGCTGGATCTACAAAACAGATGGCCTGGGACGTGGACTTCTCTCAACATAAAACCGCTTTTGAGGTTTGAAAACATCTGACTGTCATCTTGTGAGGTGGATGTGGGGTGAAGTCAGGCGCAGGACACCGAAGCTAAGTCCAAAAGTTTAATAAAGACAGATCCCTAAAACAAGGAACGGCCTCTAAACAAAGGAGGCGGAAATAATGCGCAATTACGCAAAACATGCGTAAAATACACAGAACACAAAACCCGACACGAAAACACAAACGACAGGAGAAATAACAACACACAACTAATCCATACAAACACAGGGAACTTATAGGACACGTAATCATCACAAATCAGACACAGGTGCTAAGGACAGACAAAAGCAATCACACATGGAATCATCCAACGATGGCAGCTAGTACTCCGGGGACGGCGAACGCCTTTGCCTGCCCGAACCAGGAGGAGGAGCAGTCTCGGCCGAAACCGTGACACTGACAAACAAAATTGTTTTACTGTAGTGTCCCTTTAAGATGGATTGGCAATTGCTGACTCTTTTAAATGTTAATACAGTTGTTTCTTCTAACTAATGTAATACAGAAGGTTTGATCAGAGCACCAGCATTCTCATAGCTCCATTAACACTAGAAAAGCAGAGGCAGTCATTTTGACTGTATATGAATTAAAAATTCAAACGTTTAAGTCACGCCTCCCTCCGTCCTCAACTTTTCCTAAATAAGTCTCTTCAACACATGTATGTTGTTAGAATGCAAGAATTTGTATTTTAAGCAGTTTTAAGAGGAGAAGTCATTTTTTCCACAGGAGTCAAATGCAGGTAAGACATTTTTATTTCTATACTGAACAAAAATATAAACACAACATGCAACAATTTTACAGATTTTAGAGTTACAGTTCATATAATGAAATCAATGAATTGAAATAAATTAATTAGGCCCTACTATGGATTTCACATGACTGGGAATACAGATATGCATCTGTTGGTCACAGATACCTTAAAAAATGGTAGGGGTATGGATCAGAAAACCAGTCACTATCTGGTGTGACCACAATTTGCCTCATGCAGCGCGCAACATCTCCTTCGCATAGAGTTGATCAGGGTGTTGATTGTGGCCTGTTGAATGTTGTCCCACTCCTCTTCAATGGCTGTGCGAAGTTGATGGATAATGGCAGGAACTGGAACACGCTGTCGTCCACGTCGATCCAAAGCATCCCAAACATGCTCAATGGGTGACATGGCTGGTGAGTATGCAGGCCATGGAATAACTGGGACATTTTCAGCTTCCAGGAATTGGGTACAGATCCTTGCGACATGGGGCCGTGCATTATCATGCTGAAACATGAGGTTATGGCAGTGGATGAATGGCACGACAATGGGCCTCAGGATCTCATCACGGTATCTCTGTGCATTCAAATTGCCATCAATAAAATGCAATTGTGTTCATTGTCCGTAGCCATACACGTGGTCTGCGGGTGTGAGGCCGGTTGGACGTACTGCCAAATTCTCTAAAACAATGTTGGAGGCAGCTTACGATAGAAAAATTAACATTACATTCTCTGGCAACAGCTCTGGTGGACATTCCTGCAGTCAGCCTGCCAATTGCACGCTCACTCAGCATTGTCTGTGGCATTGTGTTGTGTGTCAAAACTGCACATTTTAGAGTGGCCTTTTATTGTCCCCAGCACAAGGTGCACCTGTGTAATGATCATGCCTTTTAATCAGCTTCTTGATATGCCACACCTGTCAGGTGAATGGATTATCTTGACATAGGAGAAATAAGCTTTTTGTGCGTATGGAACATTTTTGGGATCTTTTATTTCAGCTCATGAAACATGGGACCAACACTTTACATGTTGCATTTATATTTTTGTTCAGTGTATATAGTGTATATAGGGGGCGGCAGGTAGCTTAGTGGGTAAGAGCGTTGTGCCAGTAACCGCAAGGTCGCTGGTTCTAATCCCCGAGCCGACTAGGTGAAAAATCTGTCGATGTGCCTTTAAGGAAGGCACTTAACCCTAATTGCTCCTGTAAATCGCTCTGGATAAGAGCGTCTGCTAAATGACTCAAATGTAAATCAGAAAGAGCAGATTCAGAGGTTTCCAACACACTTACCGTTGTCAAATAACTCTCAAAATTAAAGAGATGAGCTCCATTTCGAAAATATACCTTTTTCCAAGAGTAACCACTGTTCGTTTGCGCTCCACACGTGAGCACGCAGCAGCAGATCACCTACAGTAACATAAACTAATGAAAATGCTGTTGTGTTCTTGAAATACATAGTTTTTTGTATTGTTATGTTACCCAAGACCTTCATAAACACAACCAAATGATAATTTTTCCAATAGCATTGTTACATTTATTTATTACTGTTAGAATGTTTCAATCAAAATGGCTGCTCATTGGCGCAATAAGGGGGGTAGTGAGGCCCGGCAGTTTAAGTGTTAATTACACAGAAAGTCCTCACCACAGTTTAAAACTCATTCATCTTTTCTCCCAGTGACACATTCAGACAGGACTCCCTAAACTTTCTCTGTTTCCTTAGGTGGTGGAATAACGGATCAAGATCAAGGTCTAAGGCACTGCATATCAGTGCTTGAGGCGTCACTACAGACCCCCTGGTTCCAGGCTGTATCACAACCGGCTGTGATTGGGAGTCCCATAGGGCGGCGCACAATTGGCCCAGTGTCGTCCGGGTTTGGCCGGTGTAGGCCGTCATTGTAAATAAGAATTTGTTCTTAACTGACTTGCCTGGTTAAATAAAAAATAAAATGAAAGTGCCCTGGTTCTCACTGGAACCTCAGAGGGGATAGTAAACTTCGGTGGACAAATCCTTGTTAAAGGCCCACTCTGTTATATTTATGATCATTTAAATTAATGATAAATACCACTGCAATTATATACACTACCGGTCAAAAGTTTTAGAACACCTACTCATTCATGGGTTTTTCTTTATTTTTACTATTTTCTACATTGTAGAATAATAGTGAAGACATCAAAACTATGAAATAACACATATTGAATCATGTAGTAACCAAAAAAGTGTTAAACAATTCAAAATATATTTTATATTTGAGATTCTTCAAATAGCCACCCTTTGCCTTGATGACAGCTTTGCACACTCTTGGCATTCTCTCAACCAGCTTCATGAGGTAGTCACCTGGAATGCATTTCAATTAACAGGTGTGCCTTCTTAAAAGTTAATTTGTGGATTTTCTTTCCTTCTTAATGCGTTTGAGCCAATCAGTTGTGTTGTGACAAGGTAGGGGTGGTATACAGAAGATAGCCCTATTTGGTAAAAGACCAAGTCCATATTATGGCAAGAACAGCTCAATTAAGCAAAGAGAAACGACAGTCCATCATTACTTTAAGACATGCAGGTCAGTCAAAACGGAACATTTCAAGAACTTTGAACAATCAAGCGCTATGATAAAACTGGCTCTCATGAGGACCGCTACAGGAATGGAAGACCCAGAGTTACTTCTGCTGCAGAGGATAAGTTCATTAGAGTTACCAGCCTCAAAAATTGCAGCCCAAATAAATGCTTCACAGAGTTCAAGTAACAGACACATCTCAACATCAACTGTTCAGAGGAGACAGTGTGAATCCGGCCTTCATGGTTGAATTGCTGCAAAGAAACCACTCCTAAAGGACACCAATAGAAGAAGAGACTTGCTTGGGCCAAGAAACACGAGCAATGGACATTAGACCAGTGGAAATGTGTCCTTTGGTCTGGAGTCCAAAATTGAGATTTTTGGTTCCAACCGCCGTGTCTTTGTGAGACGCAGTGTGGGTGAACGGATGATCTCCGCATGTGTGGTTCCCACCGTAAAGCATGGAGGAGGAGGTGAAAGTCACCCAGTAAAATACTACTTGAGTAAAAGTCTAAAAGTATTTGGTTTTAAATATACTTAAGTATCAAAAGTAAATGTAATTGCAAAAATATTCTTAAGTATCAAAAGTAAAAGTATAAATCATTTCAAATTACTTATATTAAGCAAACTAGATGGATAGCCAGGGGCACTCTCCAACACTCAGTCATAACAAAGCATTTGTGTTTAGTGTGTCCGCCAGATCAGAGGCAGTAGGGATGACCAGGGATGTTCTCTTGATAAGTGCGTGAACTTGACCATTTTCCTGTCCTGCTAAGCATTCAAAATGTAACAAGTACTTTTGGGTGTCAGGGAAAATGTATGGAGTTTAAAGTACATTATTTTATTTTGGAATGTAGTGGAGTAAAAGTTGTCAACAATATAAATACTAAAGTACAGATACCCCAAAAACGACTTAAGTAGTACTTTAAAGTATTTTTACTTAAGTACTTTACACCATTGCTTGTGCACGTGATACTAAAACTTGAAACTTGAAACAAAAACTGCAGCTTTCCACTTAGATCCAAGATGGACAACACAGTTGCCTCTCACAAGATGATGATATTCATTGCTTCCCGTCAGCTTATCTCAAGGCTCTGATTGGTCTTGTCTATCTAGTGGTGCTCTTGGATTAATGAGGACTGGGATCCTTTTGAAAATGGTCTGTCAGTGAGGAGGAATTACAGCAGCAGCACAGCCAATGGGCTACGTGTGTTAATGACATCCAGAGGATGACGTCCAATAAGGTTAGCCGTGGTTCGGTTGAGCATTGATCTAGCTAGCCTCTGTCTAGGCCTATAGGTTATGTGGTCTAAGGCACAGTATCTCAGCGCTTGAGGCGTCACTACAGACCCCCTGATTCGATTCCAGGCTGTATCACAACCGGCCGTGATTGGGAGTACCATAGGGCGGCACACAATTGGCCCAGCATCGTCCGGGTTTGGCCGGTGTAGGCTGTCATTGTAAATAAGAATTTGTTCTTAACTGACTTGCCTAGTTAAATAAAGGTAAAAATAAAATAGGTTATGTGGTTAACCTTTTACTGCAGTGAGCTAAATCAGGGTCACAGAGCGATTCTTGGTAGTCTTAAACAAATCTACTTATAGACCTCACACACTATGACGAGTACTGAAGATACGAAGAGGAAGGAATCAACAATGTAACGGTTTACTTAACACTGAGCAAGAGCACAACAACGCGCGAGTACACAACATGACACTAACAATCACACACAACACAACACTGAACATTCCAGGGCTATATAGGGGTGGTGATGAGATTATGAGGTGCAGGTGCGCTGGAGGTGATTAGGGTGCGTTGGGTTTCGATTCCAGTGTTGCCGAGGTGGTGCGCTCAGATCGGTGGCTCAGTAGACCGGCGAATCAGAGCGCCGGAGGGGAGCAACGGGAGGAGACGTGACACACACATGGTTATGGGCTTAAAAAAGAAGACACCGGTACCATGTCAGATATAGAGTTGAAATGGATTCAGTTTTGAGTTTGCATCCCAATATTACACTTTATATACATCACAGAAGACTGAAATATAACAAAACTGTTTGACATACTGTAGAAACACTGGATTTTCATCGGGTTTTTAAAAATAATCTTTATTAATTAAGAAATTATGAAAAATATTAATAGCATTCCACCCCTGAGGCCAAAGAGGGCGATTTTGATATGTTAGGCAGGAATGCACTGATTCTCTTTGTTAGGAATTTTACAGGTACTACTTTTTGAAGGGGTTTCTGGAGCTTTTGTCTGGTGTTCTATATAACTGGTATTTGTAAAGGGCATCATTGAGAGGGAGTCTCAAAAATAAGTTCTGCACTTTTGATTTTCTTTGGTTATCTACATGTTCCTGTCTAGTTCCGATGATTACTGCATCAAAAAGGAAGGCATTAAAATTAAAGTTGTGGATTGCAGCACTGGAATAATGAGTCATGAACACACACACACGCACACACACATTAACACTGACTCACAAAGACATACACATGTCAGCAGGGAGATTTACAGAAAAGACAGGTTTTGTGATTAACATGTGTAAAGGCCAGTGCTCTTTAAAGGTCAACATCTCTTTAACAGGAACAGGCAAAGCAACAGAGGGGTGGTGGAGGGAGAGGGGGTTGAGAGGAATAGGGGAGGAGAGGGGAGAGGAGAGGAGAGAGGAGGAGGAGGGGAGGGAGGAGAGGGGGGGAGGAGAGGGGGGAGGAGGAGAGGGGGGGGGAGAAGGGTTTGGGGGGGGGAGGGGAGGAGAGGAGGAGGAGGGAGGGGAGGAGGGGGAGGGGGAAAGGGGAAGGGGGGTAGGGGAGGAGGAGGGACGAAGGGGGAAAGGGGAGGGGGAGGGAGGGGAAAAAGGGGGAGGAGAGGGGGAGGGGGGGGGAGAGGGAGGGGGGGAAAGGGGGGGAGGGGGGGAGAGGGGAGAGGGGGAGGGGGGGGAGGGGAGGAGGAGGGGGAGGAGTGGGGGAGGGGAGGGAGGGGGAGGGGGGGGAGAGGAGAAGAGGGGGGAGAGGGAAAAAGGGGAGGAGAGGGGGAGGAGAGGGAGGAGGGGAGGGAAAGGGGGAGAGGGAGGAGGAGGAAAGGAGAGGGAGGAGAGGAGGAGAGGGAGGAGAGGGGGAGAGGGAGGAGAGGGGGAGAGGGGAGGGAGGGGGTAGGGAGGAGAGGAGGAGAGGGAGGAGAGGGGGAGGGGGGGGGGGAGAGGAGGAGAGGGGGGAGGGGAGGGGAGGGGAGGGGAGGGGAGGGGGGGGGAGGAGAGGAGGGGGAGGGAGGAGAGGGGGAGAGGGGGAGAGGGGGAGGGAGGGAGGGGGAGAGGGGAGAGGGGGAGAGGGGGGGGAGGGGGGGGAGGGAGGAGAGGGAGGAGAGGAAGGGGGAGGGGGAGGGGGGGGGGGGGAGGAAGGGGGAGAGGGAAGGAAGAGGGAGGGGGAAGGGGGAGAGGGAGGAAAGGGGAGGGGGGAGGGGAGGAGAGGGGGGAGGGAAAGGGGGAAAAAGGAGGGGGGGAAAAAGGGGAGGAGAGGGGGAGAGGGGGAGAGGAAGAAGGGAAGAGGGGAGGTGAGGGGGGGAGGAGGAGAGGGGGGGAGAGGGGGGGGAGGGGGGGAGGGGGGAGAGGGGGAGAGGGAGGAGAGGGAGGAGAGGGGGAGGGAGGAGAGGGGGGAGAGGGGGGGGAGGGGGAGGAGGGGGAAGAGGGGGTGGGGGGAGGAAGAGGAGAGGGGGAGGGGGGGGAAAAAGAGGGGAGAGGGGGGGGGAGGAGGAGGGGGGAGAGAGGGGGTAGGGAGGAAGGGGGAGGAGAGGAGGGGGAGGGGGGGGAGAGGGGGGGGGAGAGGGAGGAAAGGGGGGGAGGAAGAGGAGGAGAGGGGGGAGAAGAGGAGAGGGGGAGGAGGGGGGGGGAGGGGGGGGGGGAGGGAGAGGGAGGGGGGAGGGAGGAAGGAGGGGAGGGGAGGAGGGGGGGGGGAGAGGGGGGGGAGGGGGGAGAGGAGGAGAGGGAGGAGGGGAGGAGAGGGGGGGAGAGGGGGGAGGGAGGGGGGGGAGGGGGAAAGGGAGGGGAAGGGGGTGGAGGAGAGGAAAGGGGGGAGGAGAAAGGGGGGAGAGGAGGAGAGGGGGGGAAAGGGAGGAGAGGGGGGAGAGGAAAAGAGAGGAGGAGGGGGGAGGGGGAGAGGGAGGAGAGGGGGGAGAGGGAGGGGAGGAGGAGGGGGGGGAGAGGGAGGAGGGGGGGGAGGAAGGGAGGAAAAGGGGGGGGGGGAGGGGGGAGAGGAGGAGAGGGGGGGGGAGAGGGGGAGGGGGGGGAGGAGAGGAGGAGAGGGGAGGGGAGGGGGAGGGGGGAGGGAGGAGAGGAAAGGGGAGGAAAGAGAGGGGAGGAGAGGGGGGAGAGGGGGAAGAGGGAAAAGAAGAGGGGGGGGGGGGGGTGGGGGGGGGGGGGGGGGGGGGGGGGGGGGGGGGGTGGGGGGTGAGCGGGGGGGGGGAAATTTGGGAAAGAGTCAAGGGAGAAAGGGGAAGAGGGGGGAGGGATTTTAAGGGGAAAAAACAGGGGGGAGGGAAGAAGAAAAAAGAAAGAAAAGGGAGGGGAAAAAAAAAGGGGGGGGAACAAATTAGAAAGGGGCAAGAAAAAAAAAAAGGAGAAGAAAAGGGGGAATGGGAAAAAAGAAAAAAGACCAAAAGAAAGAAACCCCCCAAAAAAAGAGGGGGGAAAAAGGAAGAAAAAAAGGGGGGGATAGGAAAAGAAAGAGGAAAGAGGGGGTTTGGTAGGGGAGTAAGGGGGAGGGCAAAAAGGGGGGGAGGGGGGGAGGAGGGAGAGAAAAAGAAGAAGTGAAAAGAGAGCCCCCAAAAAGGGGAGAAAGAGAAGAAAGGGAAAGGGGGAGGGAGAGGGAAAAAGGGAAAAAGAGGAAAGAAGATAGAAGGGAAGGAGGGAGGAAAAAAAGAGGAGTTTGGATTAAAAAGGAAATAAAAAAGAAAAGGAACCGAAAGAATGGGAATTCGGCACCTCCAATGTAAATCACTCATTACTGCCACACACAGGTGGGAGGTCTACAACAGCTCAAACCTTGGAGATGCAGAATAGGCATGTTTTTGTTTGCTTGTAAATTTGTATTTAGACCTTTTTTGGTAGTACATACCGGCCGTAACGGGAGTAAATGAAGATAGTTGCTCATCGAAACTCCATATTTGGTGAGTAACAAACATATTTTGACATTATAAAGCTTGCAGAGCTGTCTATTGGAAGTTTGAATCGGAGCTTCCTGGGTGTTATACTCATCGTCTAAATCTCTAATGCACAGATAGTGGGGCAGGAACTGTGTATCTTGTTTGTCATCACAGTAGTAATACACTTGTGTGGTAGGTAGGAGGTATAGAGGAATGACCTCTCCCATTATTCATCATCATTAAAGGAAAACTCCACCCAAAAACTATATTTTGGTATTTGTTTCATTAGTCCATTGTTGACATAGTCCCAAAATGTTTTGCTTGTTAGCAATCAAGTTTTCAAGATATGTAACTTTCAAAAAACAGAAAACATACCCGTATGATGCATATTGCATCATATGACGCAAAACGCAGCATCATATGATGCAAAATGAAAACTTGATTGCTGACAAGCAAAACATTTTGGAACTATGTCAACAATGTACTAATGAAACAAATACCAATTTTCCATGAATGTGTGGCCTTTCTCAGCCTCCAGGATCAGACGTAAAGAAGCTAGAGCTCACACCATCACCACTACCACTACCAACACCATCACCCAGCTCACACCATCACCACTACCACTACCAACACCACCACCCAGCTCACACCATCACCACTACCACTACCAACACCATCACCCAGCTCACGGATCCACTACCACTACCAACACCACCACCCAGCTCACACCATCACCACTACCACTACCAACACCATCACCCAGCTCACGGATCCACTACCACTACCAACACCACCACCCAGCTCACACCATCACCACTACCACTACCAACACCATCACCCAGCTCACGGATCCACAATCAGCACCCAGCGCACAGATCCACCACCACCCAGCTCACAAATCCACAACCACCACCACCCAGCTCACAGATCCACAACCACCACCACCACCACCCAGCTCACAGATCCACTACCACCCAGCTCACAGATCCACCACCACCCAGCTCACAGATCCACCACCACCCAGCTCACAGATCCACCACCACCCAGCTCACAGATCCACCACCACCCAGCTCACAGATCCACCACCACCCAGCTCACAGATCCACCACCACCCAGCTCACAGATCCACCACCACCCAGCTCACAGATCCACTACCACCCAGCTCACAGATCCACCACCACCCAGCTCACAGATCCACCACCACCCAGCTCACAGATCCACCACCACCCAGCTCACAGATCCACCACCACCCAGCTCACAGATCCACCACCACCCAGCTCAGTGGAATGAAAGAAGGTTTTAGGAGTCATAAATACTGTAGAACTCTGTCCTCAGGTTGATAGAGATCTCTCACGCAGCTGGGGCTTTATTGGGGTGAGTTGTGGGGAGCTGTACACCACACGCGTGTGTATGTGTGTGATCAAGAAGCCCTGCAGCATAAGCCGATTCCAACTGTCTCTGGGATGGTCTGGAGATTTATACCAGACTCAAAGGCTCTGAGTCCAGAGAGTGATTGAAGCCAGGCTCAAAGTCTCTGAGTCCAGATAATGATTGATACCAGGCTCAAAGGCTCTGAGTCCAGATAGTAATTTTCTGGAGCTAATGGAAGCTACAGTACAGAGCTAAAGTTGATGAGCAGACTCCGAGATAAGGCAGTTCGCGATTGATCAAGTACAGTATACATCAAGCAGCTATACTGCCAGCTGTCAATAGGATGGCAGGGGACAACAAATGGGAAGATTTTTCAATTCATAATGAGTACAGATGTAGGATCTTAATATGATCACCCTGTTGCAGGAGAACTTTCCTTCAAATGTAAAACCTGTAGTGTATTTGAGATATAAAAAAGGCTTCTGAAGTTTGTAATTTCCACTTTGAAATTTCAGACTTGATTTTCCCTTATGAAAAATGTATCAACCCCTACACAAATGTACATGAAATATAATCCACATAATAATTCACATTTCCTATTGCTGCAGGATTATTTTCCTGCTGTAGCAAACTGGCTCAAGTGAGGATCCTACATGTGTATCAAACACAATATCATGAGATGGGGAGAATGGGAACTACAACTAGATGTGCTGTCTTTTCTTGGATTTGGACCAAATAGGACACAAAGTAAAGGCTTCTTTATGTCCTGTTTAGTCCAAGTTACTAAATTCCTTCATCATCACATTCTGGCTGGGAGTGGACTTTAAATTGCTGCTGATTCTCTGGAAAAGTTTGGGAAGCTGGACTTAGTTGTGCTGGACATGAACAGTACAATAGCTGCCGAAACTCTCTGAAGCTTGTAACCATTCAACTGTGAACAGAACAGCTCCAGACACAGCTCCGGATTTTATCCTGTTCTCAACTCCTGTCCTTTGTAGCCTCTCCTTGTCCGGCGCCACCTGAGAGACGCAGTGTCCTTTCACGGTGCTGTGGCTCACTGCTCCCATATCACTCCCACCCTGAGGGAGCCAGGAAGGCAGGCAGAGGAGCCCTGTCTTTTCTGCATTCAGATACACTATACATTATAAACAAAGGTATGTGGACACGCCTTCAAATGAGTGGATTCGGCTATTTCAGCCACACCTGTTGCTGAGAGGTTAATAAAATTGAGCACACGGCCATGCAATCTCCATAGACAAACACTGGCAGGAGAATGGCAGCTATACTGCCAGCTGTCAATAGGATGGCAGGGGACGACAAATGGGAAGATTTTTCAATACATAATGAGTACAGATGTAGGATCTTAATATGATCACCCTGTTGCAGGAGAACTTTCCTTCAAATGTAAAACCTGTAGTGTATTTGAGATATAAAAAAGGCTTCTGAAGTTTGTAATTTCCACTTTGAAATTTCAGACTTGATTTTCCCTTATGAAAAATTTATCAACCCCTACAAAAATGTACATGAAATATAATCCACATAATAATTCACATTTCCTATTGCTGCAGGATTATTTTCCTGCTGTAGCAAACTGGCTCAAGTGAGGATCCTACATGTGTATCAAACACAATATCATGAGATGGGGAGAATAGGAACTACAACTAGATGTGCTGTCTTTTCTTGGATTTGGACCAAATAGGACACAAAGTAAAGGCTTCTTTATGTCCTGTTTAGTCCAAGTTACTAAATTCCTTCATCATCACATTCTGGCTGGGAGTGGACTTTAAATTGCTGCTGATTCTCTGGAAAAGTTTGGGAAGCTGGACTTAGTTACATTTACATTACATTTACGTCATTTAGCAGACGCTCTTATCCAGAGCGACTTACAAATGAGTGCATTCACCTTATGATAGCCAATGGGACAACCACTTTACAATGTTATTTTTTTCAAAATGTTTAATTTTTGAGTATATTTTAAAATTTCATTTGTTTTATATATATTTTTTCTTTGTTTGTTGTTTTTTGTTTATTTATTTTTATATGTGTTATTTTTTACACATTATTATTATTAATTGTTTTAATTATTATTATTATTATTTTTTTATATATTTTTTTGTAGGGGTGGGGTGGGGGGGGGGGGTAGAAGGATTACTTTTATACTATCCCAGGTATTCCTTAAAGAGGTAGGGTTTCAAGTGTCTCCGGAAGGTGGTCAGTGACTCCACTGTCCTGGCGTCGTGAGGGAGCTTGTTCCACCATTGGGGTGCCAGAGCAGCGAACAGTTTTGACTGGGCTGAGCGGGAACTGTGCTTCCGCAGAGGTAGGGGGACCAGCAGGCCAGAGGTGGAAGAACGCAATGCCCTCGATTGGGTGTAGGGACTGATCAGAGCCTGAAGGTAAGGAGGTGCCGTTCACCTCACAGCTCCGTAGGCAAGCACCATGGTCTTGTAGCAGATGCAAGCTTCAACTGGAAGCCAGTGGAGTGAGCGGAGGAGCGGGGTGACGTGAGAGAACTTGTGAAGGTTGAACACCAGACGGGCTGCAGCATTCTGGATGAGTTGTAGAGGTTTAATGGCACAGGCAGGGAGCCCAGCCAACAGCGAGTTGCAGTAATCCAGACGGGAGATGACAAGTGCCTGGATTAGGACCTGTGCCGCTTCCTGTGTAAGGTAGGGTCGTACTCTCCGAATGTTGTAGAGCATGAACCTACAGGATCGGGTCAACGCTTTGATGTTAGCGGAGAACGACAGGGTGTTGTCCAGGGTCACGCCAAGGTTCTTTGCACTCTGGGAGGAGGACACAACGGAGTTGTCAACCGTGATGGCGAGATCATGGAGCGGGCAGTCCTTCCCCGGGAGGAAGAGCAGCTCCGTCTTGCCGAGGTTCAGCTTGAGGTGGTGATCCGACATCCACACTGATATGTCTGCCAGACATGCAGAGATGCGATTCGCCACCTGGTTATCAGAAGGGGGAAAGGAGCAGATTAATTATGTGTCATCTGCATAGCAATGATAGGAGAGACCATGTGAGGATATGACAGAGCCAAGTGACTTGGTGTATAGAGAGAATAGGAGAGGGCCTAGAACTGAGCCCTGGGGGACACCAGTGTTGAGAGCACGTGGTGCGGAGACAGATTCTCGCCACGCCACCTGGTAGGAGCGACCTGTCAGGTAGGACGCAATCCAAGAGTGAGCCGCGCCGGAGATGCCCAACTCGGAGAGGGTGGAGAGGAGGATCTGATGGTTCACAGTATCAAATGCAGCAGATAGGTCTAGAAGGATGAGAGCAGAGGAGAGAGAGTTAGCTTTAGCAGTGCGGAGAGCCTCCTTGACACAGAGAAGAGCAGTCTCAGTTGAATGACCAGTCTTGAAACCTGACTGGTTTGGATCAAGAAGGTCATTCTGAGAGAGATAGCAGGAGAGTTGGCTATAGTAGGCACGCTCAAGAGTTTTGGAGAGAAAAGAAAGAAGGGATACTGGTCTGTAGTTGTTGACATAGTTGTGCTGGACATGAACAGTACAATAGCAGCCGAAACTCTCTGAAGCTTGTAACCATTCAACTGTGAACAGAACAACTCCAGACACAGCTCCTGATTTTATCCTGTTCTCAACTCCTGTCCTTTGTAGCCTCTCCTTGTCCGGCGCCACCTGAGAGACGCAGTGTCCTTTCACGGTGCTGTGGCTCACTGCTCCCATATCACTCCCACCCTGAGGGAGCCAGGAAGGCATTCTGATACACTATACAGTATATACAAAGGTATGTGGACATGCCTTCAAATGAGTGGATTCGGCTATTTCAGCCACACCTGTTGCTGAGAGGTTAATACAATTGAGCACACGGCCATGCAATCTCCATAGACAAACATTGGCAGTAGAATGGCCTTACTGAAGAGCTCAGTGACTTTCAACGTGGCACCGTCATAGGATGCCACCTTTCCAACAAGTCAGTACGTCACATTTCTGCCCTGCTAGAGCTGCCCCGGTCAACTGTAAGTGCTGTTATTGTGAAGTGGAAACATCTAGGAGAAACAACGGCTCAAAGTGGTAGGAAGTGGCCGCGAAGTGGTAGGCCACACAAGCTCACAGAACGGGACCGCCGAGTTCTGAAGTGCGTATCGCGAAACAATTGTGTGTCCTCAGTTGCAACACTCACTACCGAGTTCCAAACTGCCTCTGGAAGCAACGTCAGCACAATAACTGTTCGTCTGGAGCTTCATCAAATGGGTTTCCATGGCCGAGCAGACACACACAAGCCTAAGATTACCATGCGCAATGCCAAGCGTCGGCTGGAATGGTGTAAAGCTTGCCGCCATTGGACTCTGGAGCAATGGAAACGCATTCTCTGGAGTGACGAATCATGCTTCACCATCCGGCAGTCCGACGGACAAATCTGGGTTTGGCGCTACCTGCCCCAATGCATAGTGCCAACTGTAAAGTTTGGTGGAGGAGGAATAATGGTCTGGGGCTGTTTTTCATGGTTTGGGCTAGGCCCCTTAGTTCCAGTGAAGGGAAATATTAACGCTACACCACACAATGACATTCTAGACGATTCTTGGGGAAGGCCCTTTCCTGTTTCAGCATGACAATGCCCCCGTACACAAAGCGAGGTCCATACAGTAATGGTTTGTTGAGATTGGTGTCGAAGAACTTGACTGGCCTGCACAGAGCCCTGATCTCAAACCCATCGAACACCTTTGGGATGAATTGGAACGCCAGGCCTAATCACCAAACATCAGTGCCCGACCTCAATAATGCTCTTGTGGCTGAATGGAAGCAAGTCCACGCAGCAATGTTCCAACATCTAGTGGAAAGCCTTCCCAGAGTGGAGGCTGTTATAGCAGCAAAGTGGGGACCTAACTCCATATTAACGCCCATGATTTTGGAATGAGATGTTCGACGAGCATACTTTTAGTCATGTAGTGTAAGTTAGTCCCTCGCTACAGAACCATCTACTGTGCATCTTCATTCATTCAGGAACAACAACAACAAAAATCCAAAGGCACCAACACACGCCCATGCGGCACCCCATTTTGTCTGACTGGAGAACTTGTGCTGAGGTTGAGGAATGGGGTTTGGTAGGGTTTGTCTGTCTGCTGTGTGTGTGTGTGTGTGTGTGTGTGTGTGTGTGTGTGTGTGTGTGTGTGTGTGTGTGTGTGTGTGTGTGTGTGTGTGTGTGTGTGTGTGTGTGTGTGTGTGCGTGTGTGTCTGTGTGTGTCTGTGTTTGTGTCTGTCTGCTGGTGTGTGCGTGTGTGTGTGTTTGTTTGGTCAAAGGGCAGACGCCATCTTAATCAGACAGCGTTTTGAAAGGCACTATCAATGCCTTGATTTGATATTTTGGAACGATAACCAGCTTGATTGTTACACAGGCTGAAGTTATGGGAGCAATGCCTCTCTCCTACAGAGGATGGTTACCAAAACACATCATGAGCCTTTTGATCCACTTTAAGGTCAACACTGTGTTCTCCGCCATAGCTCTGTGAGTCTGAGAAATGAAAAGTAGGCTATTATACGAATAAAGCTACTGTATATGATATGAAGTCATAGGTTAGCTCTTGTATGAGACTACTTGGGAAGCTTTGGAAGCTTTATGCACAGGAAGCTTCTCCTTTAAAAAAAAGTATCATTAAATATTTTATGGCAGGCACACGCATAAATTATGAATTTGGAGAAAGAGTATTAAAATACAGAGAGAATTTAAAGATGGGGCTTCCCTGTCGAGACCTATACTGCCAAGCTCAAAGAGACTACTGCAGCAATTTAGGAGACAACATTGTCTAGACTACACTCAAGTACTTATCATAAAGAAAGAAAACAATATATTTAGTTCTGTCATGCATCTGTTTCCCAATTCAAATAACAACTACTAAAATTAAGTAAGTCACATCTGAAATGAAGAAAAAGTGCATAGCTGAAATGTATTCTGATGGTCAAAACAGTGCACAGTACAGATGTAGGATCTTAATTTGACCAGTTTTGTCGCAGGAGTAAATAATCCTGCAGCAGGAGGTTTTGATTATTTTAAAAAAAGTGATCATTCTAACGGGCAATTCGTTTTGATAGGCTACAATAGGCTATAGTTTAGGTGTACACTTGTATGTCGTAGTGGAGATCAATATCTATCTTGTGTTATTAAGCTATATAAAACAATGGTTGTTGATGTGTATGGCTGCATTTCAAATACATTTTTGTACATTTGAATGTCACAGTAGTAGGATCGTCAGTAATAGGACATTTATTCTGTCTTGTGCTTTAGCGTTTAAGCGAGAGAAAGAGAACTGCAGGTTTTCAGTGACTTTATGTAAATCACAAGGCTCATTTGAATTTCCTGCAGTGCAGAAGAATTCTCAGCGACAACATATTAACCTAATTAAGATACTCCACCTGTACATCAAAAATGAATATAGTTGAAGAAATGATGCATAGTACATTGGACAGATACACCTAAAGTAGACTATGATCTTAATACAGCGAAGTACACCGACTGCCACTAAACTGGCCATAAGCCAAACCCTGTATAATATACAACCTGTTATAATTGCATTGCTTTCAAGACAAATTAATGAAATTAATCTAACTACCAATCATCCTAATTGACTGCTTTGGAAACGGAACTCAAACACACTGCAAACGGTTACCATTATCAAAGACCTATACCCAGTCAGTCTGGCTCAAGGGTAATCCCCAGATCTTTAGCAATAAGCCATTACAAGTGTAGCCTACCTGGGATATTCATATTCATGTGAGCTGACCTGCCAGCATTACCTGAACGACAACTGAATACATATCAGGAGGACCAGCATGTATTATAAATGTACAACATCACTAGAGCAATCAATGTGCCTCTCAGGTGCCTGATGCCCAACATATCGGCTAAGGCCACTGATTACAATTATACTCAAAAGACACGGAATCGATTAGCCCTCATCTTAGTTTGTTTTAAATGTATGTAGTTCAGTCCTTGAGTCGTTCTTGTCTATTGATGTTCTGTATTATGCCATGTTCATGTTTTGTGTGGACCCCAGGAAGAGTAGCTGCTGCTATTGCAACAGCTGAAGGGGATCCTAATAAAATACCAAAATACCAATACCAAACGATTGAACCTTAAACAGACTGTATGAAGATGTGTGTGGCAACGAAGGGCATTAGGTAATTGAAAAGTCTAGTGATCGTGTTGTAAACAGTGCTTTGGATGATAGGATTGATTGAATACCTAACATTTTGAAATATCTAGGCTACAAAGACTTTGGAATAAATGATACATGCAACAACCTCTGTCTGTTGACAGCATTGGTTGTCCATACATTTTTTCAATATCATGACACATTTCTACAGAAAACCACATTACTATAGTCAGTAGGGCTGGGCAGTATACCTTATTTTACTATATACCGGTATTGATGCAGGAACCAGTTTGGGTTTTTACTTTACCTTCTATAACGCTATTTCAATGTTTTTTTGTTAAATGTGATGTGTTTTATGGTTTAGTCAGTTTTTTACGTGAGACGTCTTTCTCCCTCTCCTCATGCTGCATGCTGCTTCCCACACCAAGCCCCGCCCCCCTGTCACTCAAGGAGAGAGCACTATCTTGCCGTTCATTCTGCCGTCTGCATGGTCAGATGCAAAAAGATGTTGGTGACAACAATGCTGCTTTCTACAAGCGTTCTATAGTGACACTATTAGTTTGTGTATCTTACTGTCTGCAAACTACTAGTTAGTCTGCTAGTTTGTCTTTTCTTAGCAAGTTCTGTCTAAAATAAATGGTGTTAGCCGTTAACGCTAATCGCTAGTTAGCTGGCTAGCTAGCTTGCTAAATGTACAGTCGTGGTCAAAAGTTTTGAGAATGACACAAGTATTGGTCTTCACAAAGTTTACTGCTTCAGTGTTTTTAGATATTTTTGTCAGATGTTACTATGGTATACTGAAGTATAATTACAAGCATTCCATAAGTGTCAAAGGCTTTTATTGACAATTACATTACGTTTATGCAAAGAGTCAATATTTGCAGTGTTGACCCTTCTTTTTCAAGACCTCTGCATTCCGCCCTGGCATGCTGTCAATTAACATCTGGGCCACATCCTGACTGATGGCAGCCCATTCTTGCATAATCAATGCTTGGAGTTTGGCAGAATTTGTGGGTTTATATGTGTCCACCCGCCTCTTGAGGATTGACCACAAGTTCTCAATGGGATTAAGGCCTGGAGAGTTTCCTGGCCATGGACCCAAAATGTCGATGTTTTGTTCCCCGAGCCACTTAGTTATCACTTTTGCCTTATGGCAAGGTGCTCCATCATGCTGGAAAAGGCATTGATGGTCACCAAACTGTTCTTGGATGGTTGGGAGAAGTTGCTCTCAGAGGATGTGTTGGTACCATTCTTTATTCATGGCTGTGTTCTTAGGCAAAATTGTGACTGAGTCCACTCCCTTGGCTGAGAAGCAACCCCACACATGAATGGTCTCAGGATGCTTTACTGTTTGTCTTCTCCGGACAAGCTTTTTTCCAGATGCCCCAAACAATCGGAAAGGGGATTCATCAGAGAAAATGACTTTACCCCAGTCCTCAGCAGTCCAATCCCTGTACCTTTTGCAGAATATCAGTCTGTCCCTGATGTTTTTCCTGGAGAGAAGTGGCTTCCTCGCTGCCCTTCTTGACACCAGGCCATCCTTCAAAAGTCTTCGCCTCACTGTGCCTGCAGATGCACTCACACCTGCCTGCTGCCATTACTGAGCAAGCTCTGCACTGGTGGTGCCCCGATCCCACAGCTGAATCAACTTTAGGAGAGGGTCCTGGCGCTTGCTGGACTTTCTTGGGCGCCCTGAAGCCTTCTTCACAACAATTGAACCTCTCTCCTTGAAGTTCTTGATGATCCGATAAATGGTTGATTTAGGTGCAATCTTACTAGCAGCAATATCCTTGCCTGTGAAGCCCTTTTTGTGCAAAGCAATGATGACGGCACGTGTTTCCTTGCAGGTAACCATGGTTAACAGAGGAAGAACAATGATTTCAAGCACCACCCTCCTTTTAAAGCTTCCAGTCTGTTATTCTAACTCAATCAGCATGACAGAGTGATCTCCAGCCTTGTCCTCGTCAACACTCTCACCTGTGTTAACGAGAGAATCACTGACATGATGTCAGCTGGTCCTTTTGTGGCAGGGCTGAAATGCAGTGGAAATGTTTTTTTGGGATTAAGTTCATTTTCATGGCAAAGAGGGACTTTGCAATTATTTGCAATTCATCTGATCACTCTTCATAACATTCTGGAGTATATGCAAATTGCCATCATAAAAGCTGAGGCAGCAGACTTTGTGAAATTTAATATTTGTGTCATTCTCAAAACTTTTGACCACGACTGTACTAATTAGGGTTCCCTGGAAACACTGACCAACACTTTAGCTCCTACCCTGTCAAAAATTCCCCCCTGGTTTATTCATTCGTTGTCATGTCAAACAATGTATTTAAAGTGCTGCCCACTATATTCCAACTATAGAATTAGATGAATCATTATATGTCCATGATTCCAACAGTTCACCAGTTAACTAGACCTGGATGTTTTGCCCATATCATACTTCTCTGTGCGGCACAGTGTGGAAATTATAACAAAAGTGCAGGAAATGTGGAAATGTATGGAAATGCTCAAAGTTATTTTTGTTCGAAAGTTGGATTGAACAATATAAAACATTTAGAATGGAGAAAGTCCTATTGAAATCACTTATAATTTGTGTTTCCACCCTAGGGTCATGAACTACTCATAAATAATATTTATATGTTTTATTATTCAAAAACATAAAATACTGTCAAATACCATAATAACGTAAAAAAAAAATTTGGGGGGGGAATATAGTGATATGATATTTTGGCCATATCGCCCAGCCCTAATAGTCAGTGTAGCCTACTGCTTACCTGTTGATCGATGAGTCCAGTGTAGCCCTCTAGGGTTGATGATGGGGCTCTTGGTGGTTTAGGCTGCGCTTTCCCGGGATTCTCCGAGTCAAACTCTGATGTGTCGGTGAAGTTGTTGTTGTACACAACCATAAGAATGGTACCCATGGTAATAACGATAATGCAGATAACCCCATGGCACTATAATATGGAGGGAATTGGTCAAATAGGCTATATCATGAGGTATTCGACCGGTTTGTAATAAAAAAAATGCAGTATGCTATTAGTTCGTTTAATTTCAGTTTATGTGACAAAACAAGCAGTGAAGAGAGTCATTGTATTATCTAAACAGCTTTGAAATATATTTTTCAATAACCAAAAATATTGTATTTTCAGCTGTTTGAAGCTGGTAAGCCTATACAAAACCGAAAGTAAAAGACTAAACTTAGGAACAAGATGCATATAAATAGTGCACAATAGAACAGCTCTACCGCTTCTTAGACTTGCTTTCAAAGAGAATGACAGATCTATAACTCATATTTCTATGTGCATTTTGTCGGGTCCCCAAAAAGCTACATATTGCAGCTTTAGTGCCTTATTTATAGCATTTCAATTCTACAATATAATGACAAATTATAACTTTTAAACTCTGTTAACAGCTTAGAATTTTTTTTGTGAGATGACAAATAATAGCATATCTCTTCTTTCTGTGATTACATTTCATTTTTCTCATCTCTCATCCACTAGGCCTACTCAAAACAACAGATGCGCTCTATGATTTAAAAACAATGACAGCTGTGAGCTCTGGTAGTCTTTCAATTATAATCTTTAAAACCATCATCCAACCCATTGTTATAGAGAGACTAAAATATTTAAACAGGAGAGTAGACTAGACTAGCAGCATGATACTGTAGCAGTAGACTAGATGTCTATTTTCCCCATAACTTCCCTCTTTCCAAAAGAGTTTTAAAAAACATACCACTCGTGTCTTCATTTTGTGGATGTCCTCCGTAAATTGTCCACTTTACATCACGGTTTAGAAGCCCGAGCATACACGTTGGGGAAATCGTTGCAGCCCGTCCACGATTGCGCCAAAAAATACCTGACGTTCTACCAGTGACAACGAGCGCATCCCTCAATGTAGCAGATTAGCGCTCGCGCTGATACATCAATAGTCTTCGGTCTCGCAGAATCCAGAGCGCCCAAGTAGGTAACTCCGCATGGTCATAATGGACGCCCGTTCAACGATGGCACAATTTCGTATAGTTCAAAAGATTGATTGGGGACCTCTTTACATTTACATTTTAGTCATTTAGCAGACGCTCTTATCCAGAGCGACTTACAGTTACTGAGGAATGTGATTGTTTCTCTTGAGTGTGTTTGAAATATTGCATATTTGTATTATGTTGTATTTGTAAATTGTGTATGCAGTGCTGCTTCATAAAATAGACATTGGTCTCAATGGGACTCCCTGCTAAAATAAACATAAAATAAAAATGTCAGTATTAACAAAGAGTTTATAGGCTATTAATACAGTTAATACAGTTAATTAAGAGGTTTTAATATAGGATTAATAATGACATTGAATAGGTGTAGTGAATGTAATAGGCTATGCAAATATGTATAATAATGTTTATTTAATTCCTTTTTATTTTATATAGTTATTTTAACCAGATTGTGGAATAATATTTCATAATAGGTACACTATACTTTACACTAGCTATTGTTATTCTTATTTAATAATGTAAACATAAGGCAGTGGGAGAGCACCAAGGGCAGGACTTGAACCAGCAACTCTGTGGTACCACTTGTGTGTGCACTACCACCTGTGCCATAAAGGTCTTGACCTCTTGGCTGTGAGTAGCCACAACAAGAGTACACAGTACCAATCACACACCAAGTGTTGCCATGCAACAGACATTGGGAGTCCCAATGTGAGTAGATAAATAATAAAATAATAATGATAATACATTTAATTTGTATAGCATTAAACAATCTTACCATCTCCTCATCTAAACGTGGTAACCAGAGCTCCCCATGGGAGAGCAGATTTGCTGGAAGCTGAGTTCTAGTCTGAAGCTGCTCACCTAAGTTTGAATATACAGTGTGATGCAGCTTGAGGGAGGTTGCACTGGCAAACAAAGTCATTTTAAATATCAATAGAAAACAATGCAAGTAGCCTAAGTTAAAGTAATACAAGTGTGTGGAATAATTCAAATTGTCGTTTTGTCTCTTTTCACTCTGGCCTATAGATGTACATTTTAATAATATCATTGCCCTAATTAGTGTAATCGGCATGGGGTTAGGGTAATTAGTAGTAATCAAAGTGTTATATTCACATGCACGCATTCATCATTTTATTTCATATCTTTTGATATGTCTAAGGACATTTGGTCTGGAAGGGATATGGCTCCAGTGTGTTGTACGCATAGCTAATTCAAACGAGTTTAACACTGCATTAATTCCACTGTGACTAATGATGAAAGGGCGTATGAGGGCACTTGAAAATTACCCGAAAATAACATCAGAAATAGGACCTGAGAGAGACTGGTAGAGGTTAATAGAGAAGATGTAACTGCAGGAAGTGAAAAATACTGTTCATTCTTCCTGTGAAATAGTTGTGGTCCTGGATAACCGATAGCAAGCCACATGGACAATGTCACATCAGAAAACAATTCAAAGTACAATTATTTGAATAGCGAGAATTTTCAACTCTTTAAAACTGGTAGGGACCCACTGGGCACAGACATCAATTCAACGTCTATTCCACGTTGGTTCAACACAATTTAATTGAAATGATGTGGAAACAGCGTTCATTCAACCAGTGTGGGGACATATAGTGCCTTGCAAAAGTATTCATACTCCTTGGATTTGTTTACATTTTATTGTGTTACAAAGTGGGATTAAAATGGATTTAATTTGAATTTGTTGTCAACAATTTACACAAAATACTCTGTAATGTCAAAGTGGAAGACATTTTTAATTTATAATAAACACTTGATAACTAAAATATAGTCATTGCATATGTATTCAGCCCAGTCAAGTATTACAATTTAAGCACAATGTCACGGATTCTGCAGAGGCTGCCTCTGCTCCTTGCTCGGGCAGGCTTCGGCGTTCGTCGTCACCGGAATACTAGCTAGTGCCGATCTATGTTCTATGTTTCTATGTTGCACCTGTTGTCTATTGTTACACACCTGTTGCCCATTATGTGATTACTCCTTCCCTATTTAACCCAGTGGCTCCCAATGTGTTTTGTGCGTGTTTGCTTTTCTATTTGTGTGTCGTTGGTGAGCGGGTTTGTTCCTCCCTGTGTGGAGGTGTTTTGTATGGTTTTCTTTACTTCTACAGTAAAGTACCTTTCATACGAGTTTCTATGACCTGCGCCTGACTTCGATCCACCGCATTACACTGACACTCGTGACATAAACACGCACCAATAAATGGAGTCAGCAGGTACATTCAGTCCGTCCGGATCGTTGGAGGAACGTATCCAACGGCAGGCGAGCAGAATCCAGGCTCTCGGCACCGCTATGGAGAGGGTGATGAATACTATGGACCGATGGGAGAGAGGTGGCCTTCCTACACCTTCTCCAACCACTCAACCACCCATACCACAGTCCACCCCTTCGCCACCTGGGCCCAGTGGGATTCGGCTCTCGCTCCCGAGGGCATATGACGGTACACAAGCCGGGTGTCAGGGTTTCCTTCTCCAGGTAGAGCTCTACCTGGCAACCATTCACCCGGCGCCCTCGGGATACGAGAGCGTGTCCGCCCTCATCTCCTGTCTGTCGGGGAAGGCGCTCAAGTGGGCCAACGCCGAGTGGGAAGGAATTGACGCTACATCGGTCCGCTACGATGATTTCACCCGCCGCTTCCGGGCGGTATTCGATCATCCACCGGAGGGGAGAGCGGTGGGCGAGCGTCTGTTCCACCTACGACAGGATTTCGCGCTGGAGTTCAGGACTCTGGCAGCCAGCGCAGGATGGAATGAGAGGGCCCTGATCAACCACTATCGTTGCAGCCTAAGGGAGGACGTTCAGCGGGAACTGGCCTGCAGGGATACCAATCTCAACCTGGACCAACTGGTGGAGATGTCCATGTCAGGATGGATAACCTGTTGGAGACCCGCGGACGTTCTGATCAGGGCCCATTCATTCCATCCCCCAGCACCTCTGACCCTACCCCCATGGAGCTCGGAGGTGCTGCACTTAGGGAGACCAGGAGAGGGGCCGTCCCCTGCACCAACTGTGGCCGCAGAGGACACACTGCGGGTCGGTGCTGGGGAGGGTCTCCAGGGAGTCGAGGCAGTAGGCAGAGCACTGGTCGACCATCTCAGGTGAGTAAGCACCCGACTCACCCAGAGCACCCTGTTAGTCAGCTGTGTATAGAGGTGGTTTTCCCAGAGTTTTCTCCTCATTCCCAGCATAAGGCGCTAGTAGATTCAGGCGCAGCTGGGAATTTTATTGATCGTCAATATTCACGTAGTTTAGGGATTCCCACTGTTTGTGTTGATATGCCCTTCCCTGTACACGCATTAGATAGTCGCCAGCTAGGGTCAGGCCTAATCAGGGAGGTTACCGCACCACTCTTAATGAGGACGCAGGGGGGTCATGAGGAGAGGATTAGTCTCTATCTGATTGATTCTCCTGCATATCCTGTGGTGTTGGGCCTTCACTAGTTAACCACTCATGACCCCACTATTTCCTGGCAACAGAGGGCTCTCAAGGGATGGTCCAGTCAGTGCTCAGGGAGGTGTGTAGGGGTTTCCTTAGGGGCTACTACGGTGGAGAGTCCAAACCAGGTCTCCACAATGCACATTCCTTCCGAGTATGCCGATTTGGCTCTCGCCTTCAGTAAAAAGAGGGCGACTAAATTACCACCCCATCGTCCGGGGGATTGTGCGATAAATCTCCAGGTAGGCGCAGTCACGTGTATCCTCTGTCACAGGCGGAGACGGCGGCCATGGAAACATATGTCTCCGAATCTCTGAGACAGGGATACATTCGGCCTTCCACTTCACCTGTTTCCTCAAGTTTCTTTTTCGTGAAGAAGAAGGATGGTGGGTTACGCCCGTGCATTGATTACCGTGGGCTTAATCAGATCACTGTCAAGTACAGCTATCCCTTACCTCTGATAGCTTGTATGACGTAGTCACTGCACGGGGCACGCTTCTTCACGAAATTGGATCTCAGGAGCGCGTACAACCTGGTGCGTATTCGGGAGAGAGATGAGTGGAAGACGGCATTCAGTACCACCTCAGGACACTATGAGTACCTCGTCATGCCATACGGGTTGATGAATGCTCCATCAGTCTTCCAAGCCTTTGTCGATGAGATTTTCAGGGAACTGCACGGACAGGGTGTAGTGGTATATATTGATGACATTCTCATATACTCCACTACACGGGCCGAGCATGTGTCCCTGGTGCGTAAAGTGCTTGGACGACTGTTGAAGCATGACCTGTATGCCAAGGCGGAGAAATGCCTGTTCTTTCAGGAGTCCATCTCCTTCCTAGGGTACCACATGTCCGCGTCTGGGGTGAGGATGGAGAGTGACCGCATTTCGGCCGTGCGTAATTGGCCGACTCCAACCACGGTGAAGGGGGTGCAGCAATTTTTGGGGTTTGCCAATTACTACCGGAGGTTTATCCGGGGCTTTGGTCAGGTAGCGGCTCCCATTTCCTCGTTGCTGAAGGTGGACCGGTGCGCCTGCGGTGGTCCGCTGAGGCGGACAGGGCGTTCAATCATCTGAAGAACCTGTTTACCTCGGCTCCAGTGCTGGTTCATCCGGATCCCTCCTTGGCTTTCACGGTTGAGGTGGACGCGTCGGAGGCTGGGATAGGTGCTGTACTTTCCCAGCGCTCGGGCACACCACCCAAGCTCCGCCCCTGTGCGTTCTTTTCGAAGAAGCTCAGTCTGGCGGAGCGCAACTATGATGTGGGGGACCGGGAGCTGTTGGCTGTGGTCCAAGCCCTGAAAGCGTGGAGACATT